TCGAATCACATGCCACCAAAATTGCTTTCCTGGAACTTGTTTATTCTATCAATTGTTATCACAATACAATCTGTCGAAATACCTTGTCTACTTGTAAAAAAATAGAAAATTAAAACATACCAGCTATCTAGTCTAGAGTATGAATAGACAGAGCATTAATCATAAAAACTGTCATAATATATCAATTTGATGTTTTTGCTTTAAATATTCTATTTACTTGCTTGAAGTAAAATCTAAGCCTCATGAAAACTTGAAATTAAATTGTGGGTTTTAAAGCTCATGTTGGCGTCCATAAGTGGTCCATTTCTTTTATTGCTAATTGCACTGATTCTCCTTCTCTACTGAAATTATGCAATATTAGTTTCGGGTGGTGTTTTGAATCTGGCAACATTGAGATTAGAAGAAAGGATAGCACAAACTGGTTATGCTTTTGTTTAATTTCTACTTGCTTGAGTTTGTGATGGTCATTGATCGTCCGAGTATGAAAATTTTTTGTGTGAATTTTAATATCAGACTAGTTTGCCAGAAGCAACCATTTGAAAGATAACCTTTATGAATATCTTTAGAAAAAGGAGCTTTATGATTTTGGTGATTATGTGTGATCTTATTAAAATGTGAATATTTCTAATTTCTCATGCACTAATCTTTCATCCCCATGATTAGTGCACTATGATATATGATAGTAATTATTACTTGTCTTTGGCCTCGAACGTTCATTTTTACTAACACCCAGGCAGTGGTACAAGAAATTTGATTCTTTCATGTTAAGTCATGGCTACCAGAGGGCAGTTGCAAATTCGTGTGTATATTTCAGAAGAATTTTAGATTTTAGTTTTATTATCCTTTTGCTTTATGTGGATGATAGTCGGGATAGTCAAATAATCGGTAGGCTGAAGAAGGAGTTATTTAAATCTTTTGACATGAAGGATTTGGGCTCGGCACAACGGATTCTTGGTATGGATATTGCTCGCGACAGGAAAGTCAGGAAGTTGTGGTTATCACAGGAGAAATATGTTGAATGGTTACTTGATAGATTCAACATGAAAGATGTCAAGTTAGCTAGTACTCCTCTTGTAGGTCATTTGAAGCTTAGCAAGAAATTTTGCCCTAATACAGATGAGGAAAAGAGTGAGATGGAGAATATTTCTTACTCTTCAGCTATAGGGAGTTTGATGTATGTCATGGTTTGCACTCGGCCAGATATAGCTCATGTAGTCGGCGTTGTGAGCAGATTTTTTTCTAATCCATGGAAAGTTCATTGAGAAGGTATAAAGTGGATCTTAAAATATTTAAAAAGCAGTTCCAGATTGTGTTTGAATTTTGGAAGTTCGAAGACAGTATTACATGGTTTTATAGATGTAGATATGGCAGGTGATCTCAGCCACAGGAAGTCTACCTCAGGTTGGTCGTTCACTTTTGCAGGGGGAGCAGTATCTTGATAGTCCAGGTTGCAGAAGTGTGTTTCTTTATCTGCAATAGAGATGAAATATATTGCAGCTGGAGAAGGCGGTAAAGAGATAATTTGGTTGAGAAGATTTCTACAGGAGTTAGGCTTACAGCAGGATAATTATCAGATCTTCATTGATAGTCAAAGTGCTCTTGATTTCAGCAAGAATTCTACATTCTATTCCAGGACGAAACACATTGATGTGAGATATCATTGGCTTAAAGAAGCTGTTGAGAAAGAGGAGCTGAAATTACAGAAGATTCACACAGATGAAAATCCAGCAGATTTTTTAACGAAGACCGTTCCTAGAGAGAAGACCGAGTTGTGTCGGCGATTGGCCGGCATGAACTCCCGTTGAGGAGTTAAAGATTGGCATATCCCCTCCTTAGGTTGGAGAGGGAGAGTGTTGTGGGTCCAGCCCAAGATAAAGCCCACATGAGGAGGTCTACATGAATTAGAATTCTATTTATAAGAAGTCTACATGGATTAGAACTCTATTTAGAAGAGGATTTGGATGATCTATTTGAAATAAGAATAGGTTTGGAGAATTCTATATAAGAGAGCACTGAGATCATTTTTTATATGAATAAATTTTGGTTGAACAGTACTTCGGTGCTATAGTAACCGCGGTTTGCTACAGTGTCGCGAGGAGAGAGAAAAGTTCATATTTCGGATAGCTCGGGTGTCCGATTGCAGTGATTCAAAAGCCGTTGTCTTCAGAAAGACGACGCCGTCAAGGATACAATGTTGGTTTCTCCACGGGAGTTGGAGATTTTTGGTGAGACTGATTTTAGGATTTTAGTGCCCTAGAGGTAACACTGTATCTTTCTCTTGTGATTTAATTTTCAAGTCAAGGTGTAACTTGGAGGAATTGTACTCTTGATTCATAGTAAAATATTTCTCTCTGGATTTCCTCGTGGACGTAGGCACGATTTGCCGACCCACGTTAGATCTTGGTGTTTGCTTGCTTGTAATATTTTTCATTGGTATCGTTATTCATTTAGTGTTTAATTCCGCAGATTAATCTCCTTAAAATCCCAAACATGAACATCAAAAATATATTTAACTTCTTTGTGAAGTTAAACGAGAAGATAAAAAATTAATAAGCCCAGAAAAGATAACATCATAAAAAATATAACTCCAGCATAATATCACAATCGATGTAGATGATGAAGACACTACTCTAAAATTGTTCGGAAAAAAGATAAAGGTTGAAGAAGGATTGATCTTAGCTCAATAAAAAATAAAACAGAAGGAATAAAAGATAATATTTTCTAAATATTTTATAGAATAGTTTAATTATTTTGAGTAGAATTAAGAATCTTTAGAAGAGAGTTTTATGGACTTTTTCAGTACTTTTATATGCTTATGTGGATGCTTTTATCATATAAAAGCATACTAGAGTCAGCATTAGTCTTTAGTTTATAATTTTTTATAAAGTCTATCAATGATTAGAAATAAACTTTGTATTCTCTTTTGTGTCATTTTAGAATAATTTTAATCAATCATTTTGCCTTTTTGATTTTAAATATTCATCTTTTTTATAACACTATTTCAATATTTTTCACTTTTACAGCACTGTACTTTCTCAAGCAAAACTTGTCTTTATGTCAGTCAAAATAATATAAAATTTTAAATAGCTTCAAATTATATTTGTTTTCTATAAATTCAAATATCAACATGAAAATTTAATTTGGGTGTAGCCCAATTAAACAAACATTAAATAAAATGAATAATCGCAACATTAAAGTTTAGAGATAAAAATTAAGCACAAACTATTAAAGTGAAAATGAGGAACAAATTTTAGTTAGAATATAAGCTAAAACTACTTAATCATGATCTTTAACCACGTGCATTGCACGTGTATAAAACTTAGTTCTCATAAAAGAGAGAGTATCATTCTCCAATTATCACAACTATCAGCATGGACATGCATTATCTCTAGCCCGATCTTCATATAGATAAAGATAGACATTTCCGTCACATCTCAATTCATGGCAATTCTTTCAAATTATTAAATCTCATGTCCCACTAATTACACTTTTCTTTGCAAAATATTACGATTAAATCATCTTGTTATCCTTATCTTGTTCTAACTTTAGTTTATTGTGTAGTCCTTGTCTTACCTAACACCCACTGAAAATCAAACATGCATCACACGCTACAATGTAAAAAATTTATCATCAACTTAAAAACTAATGCCAGCACATAATATAGACTGTTGTTATCAGATATTAGAATATGATGACAGATTTCAAGTAAGATGTCAAGCAAGTTTATACTTTTACAGAGTGTTTGGGGAGCTTATTGTTACTATTATTTTTAAAATCAAAGTAGCTTATAAGTTTAGCTTTCAATATCAATATGTTTAGTAATGTATCAAATAACCTAGCTTTTAGACAAATTTAAAAAAGGCGGGGTTCCCCAATTTTTGAAAAACCAAGCTTATAAGCTATCTAAATAAGTTATGTTTAATCAAGTAAATGGCTTTTCTATCCAAAAAATACTTTATTGAAAATTAATTATAAAAGCTAGCATATGATCGTATAAGCTTAAAAAATAAGCCACTTAAACACCATGTCACCATCTTAGACTTTGGTCTAGTAGAAGTATGAGGAAGGGAAGTGAGATACAGTAAAGTGCACTGAGGTGCAAGGAAAGACATACCCTTTATGATTTTTGTTTAAATTGAGGAGATGACAAGTTAATAAAAATACAATGGAGAGAGGTAGAGAAGGATTTGATAAGGTAGACAATTGCGTTAACTATGAAAATTGATAATGATATCAGTCATCATAATATACTTTTTTTCTCTTCTCATGTATCCCTCCAAATCGGAAGGATATTTCTCTCTCTATACTTTCTATTCATTTACACTCTCTCTCACTACATCCTTACCTCATCCAGACTCACCTCCCCCTCTAAACCCCCCTAGCAAAAAGGATTTCTTATTTTATTCCCCACCTTACTCCACTTTCCCTCCTACCAAATCAAACCTCAAACTATAAGGAAGACTTGATTTTTTCTTGAGAGTTCATGTTCATGCCAAAAAGTATTAGAGATATCACTACTTTAATCCAAATCGTTAATTATTTAATAGATAATTGTGACGTGACTTCTTAAGTGTAAAATAGGAATGATGTCAATTCATAAGAATATATATATTAAGTGTTATATTTAAAATGAATCACAATACTTCACAACCGTCAGTTAAATATTTAACAGCTTGAATTAGAAGTATTGATTTCTCCGCTACCTTTTGGTAATCTACATTTGTTCATCAGGTTTCTCTTAATCTCCTTTAAATTTGTCCGAGCGTAACACTCAAGTTTAGATTTGAGGGTGTAAATTACAAATACAGGGTTTTATTTTAAAACAACTTCAAAGTGAAAATAATGAGCATCGAGGTCCAATTAACATAAAACAAATAGACTATAGTGTCCAATGCGAGATACCACCTGAAGAAAAGGGCCAGTGCACACGACTTCAATGAGGCCCAACAAACCCAGCCCATAAGACTTAGGCCCAACACTATATAGTTTCGTCTCCCACGCAAACCCTAATCCCTCTCCTGCTTACTCATTCCAGAACCCTAACTCCACCTCAGTCTCAAACCCTAGCCGCCCTCAATCATGCCGCCCAAATTCGATCCCTCGCAGGTCGTCGACGTCTACGTTCGCGTCACCGGCGGTGAGGTCGGCGCCGCCTCCTCCCTCGCGCCAAAAATCGGGCCCCTCGGTCTCTCCCCCAAAAAGATCGGTGAAGACATCGCCAAAGAAACTGCCAAGGATTGGAAGGGCCTACGTGTCACCGTCAAGCTCACCGTCCAGAATCGCCAGGTACGATTCGAATCGAATATTGAGCTTTTGTGTTAAAGTTGAAAATGGTATAACTTTGGATTATTGAAGTTCAAAATGGTTAAACATTGGGGTGTTGAAGTTGAAAATGGTAGAACTTTGGTGTGTTTTCTGGGACAAATTTAAACTTCAGGATATCAAAGCTAAAAAACGATGAATTTAGGGTATTTAAGTGCAATTAACCCTTTTATAATGTATGAATATTCGACTATTCGATTATGAAAATAATTTTATTTGGTTAAAGAAATAAATTTCATCTTTTTATAAAGATTTTGATTTTGCAGAAAGAATTTAAATTTATAATTGGAAACAATTCGTCTATAGTTATGGTGTGCACATTTGTTTTTTGAATATCTGGTCTGGAGAGCTACTTGGGGACACATTAAATTTCTTAAAATTAGTGTAGAAGTTAAATGTGAAATATAATTGGGGCAAAAGCATAACATCATGTGTGTACTCATGCCATTTATAAACGGTTAATTTTTAAATGAAACCAATCAAATATATATATAGTTAAATTGTTCGTTTATGAAATTCAAAAAGTTATTTGTTTATTTTTATATGAACTTTTTATAAACGGTTTGGTTGTTTCCACTCTTACTGTCAGGCCAAGGTCTCTGTTGTCCCCTCCGCTGCCGCTCTGGTCATCAAGGCTCTTAAGGAGCCGGAGCGTGATCGCAAAAAAACCAAGAACATTAAGCATTCCGGTAATATTTCACTTGATGATGTGATTGAGATTGCTAGGGTTATGAGCCCAAGATCAATGGCGAAGGATTTGAGTGGAACGATTAAAGAGATTTTGGGTACGTGTGTCTCGGTTGGGTGTACAGTTGATGGGAAGGATCCGAAGGATTTGCAGCAGGAGATCAATGAAGGGGATGTGGAGGTGCCGCTTGAGTGAATGAGGGGAATTTATCAGGTTAATCGCAAATTAGGTTACATGAAGCAATTTTTCTTTTTTGTACTGAGCTTTGTTTAGGAATTTATGACTGATGATAATTTATCTATATCAGCTTGCATTTGTTGTTATGTGGATCAAATTTAAGTTATTAACTCTTATTTTCTCTGAGTGATTTGGTTATACAATTGATTGTTGAGATTGAATGCATTAAGGATTGATGTCAGTTTGCCTTTAGAACTCAAGGAGAAACTATAGTATGAGGTTTTTATTACAGTTCTGCAAGCCTGCAACTAGTATAATCTAGCTAACTTAAATGATGGTCTTAACACTTATACAATGCAAACTAAGGTTTCTGTGGATATTTGGATGATAAATATAAAGGCGTGGTTGAATTCCTTGGAATGTTGCATATTGCACAACCCTGTGTTGTAGAACTCAATGCTAAAAGAGAACAACCAGGAAAACAATGCTAAATTGAGTACAAATATAAAACTACGACACAAGGTTGTTTGCATGTACATTTTTTCAACTTATGGCCACAGGGTTAAGGTTTTGGTGAGAGATGGTTATGGGATTTTCTGAAGTCTAAACCATATATATGCATGTAGCCTTGGTATATGAAATTTTGTTTGGGGATTTGAACTTTGGGATTGCCTTTAGGATTTCAGATATAATTTTACTTTTACAACGGTGTCAGGCTTTGGTTTATGTTAAGTTGAATTTATATGCAATTGAAATTTGGTGAGGTTAACGAGGTTGGGCTATGTATTAGTTGTAGGATTTGAGATAAGCAGTGATCAGCTATCAACTGTGTCAACTTGAAAGCTATGAGGAAATATAGGGGTGGTAAACGATCGAATCGAATCGAATACTAAGATGTTCGTATTTGTATTTGTTTAAAATTATCGAATTCGAATGTGGACTCTAAAATTCATATATCTAGTTTTTCGAATTCGAACTCGAATACTTGGTATTTGATAAATATTCATGAATATTCACGAATACTTATCGAATATCAAAGTATATTTATTCCGCTAAAGAATTTGATTTTCAAATAGTATTTGAATTCATAAATAAAATTTATTCCTTTATAATATATGATGTATATATATTTAAATCAAAATTTTAATTAGAAAACAGATTTAAGATTATTTAAGTCTTAAAATCAGGATATAAAGCTCAAGTAGAAATGGTATGTAGGTTAAAAATATGACATCATATGTGCAATAATACAAGTAATATGATGTGGTCAAATTTTAAACGAATATTTAATAGACAAACGAATCGAATATACATCTGGTTAAATTCTATTTGTTAGTAAACTCGAATACTAAAAAATATTTGTTTAGTGGTAAATGAACTACCGAATCGAATATGATCGAATACTTTTTCGAACAATTATCGAACTATTTGTTAATTATTTGGTTCATTTCCACCCCTATGAGGAATTAGAGGTTAGTTAGGCTTTTTTTTTTTGCTTCCAGATTATGTTGTTTTGGTCACTACTAGATTCTTCTTTTGTTCCTTGCATATATACATGTACAGTATGTTGCACAAGACACAGACACAGGTAAGGATACAGGACACGACTAATTTGTAACAGATAGGATAATGGGACATGGCTAGGGGTGCCAAACGGTTCGGATATATCCGAACCGAACCGCATCCGTATCCGAACGGATACGGATATGATAGGACAATTTTGAAACCGGGCGGATACGGTAACGGATACGGATATGATTTCGGATTTTTTTTCGGATACGGATTCGGTAACGGATATGAGTGTTGCGGATACGGATATCCGCAATGTAATAATAATCCGGGTCCAAAGTTACAATATTTACAACCCGTAACCGCTAACCCAAACCTCTAAGATATAAAGTCTAAGTTGTCTAAGTTCTAACCCTAGCGTGAGCGTCCCTCTCTGGACTTTGCTCCAGCGGCGCCTCATCCTCCTCTTAAAACTCCCCAACATTAACACACCCATCCTTCTCTGACATTGCAGAGAGCACTAAATCTCCAACCCGGGAGAAATTAGGGTTTCTCGAAGAAGGGGATGAAGGTTTTGGTGGGGAGCCCTGGGACAGTGAGCGGATTGGTGCTGAGATTGGGGCAATGTCTCTTCGCTGGGGCTTCGATTGGGGTCATGGTGTCTGCTCTAGGGTTTTCCAACTATACTGCGTTCTGGTAACAGGAATTCCCCTCTTTTGTTTCTAAAGTTTTCTTCTTGTTTCGGTTTCTAGTGTTCTTGGTTTGGATTATGAGGTAGCTTTGATCTGGATAGGGATAATTTTGGGAATCCGATAGGTGCAAAGCAGCAGTACCATAAAAATTTCATCTTGGTGATGTTAGATGAAAGAATTTTTTTTAAAAAAATGAGGGCAGTGTAAAAGAAGAATGTGTTCATGGAGCTTATTAACCAATGCTTCTATAAATTTGTTAGAGGGAACTGTATATATACCATGAAAGCTTAGGTTAGTTAAGATAGATGAGGTGTGAGCAGGCACGTTTAGGATGAATTAGGCAATCTAATAAGAACAGATGCTAAATTTTAAGGTTTTTACTGGCGCAAAAAAAAAAAAAAAAAATTCTTCAAGGAATCACTGCTGCTGTTAAGACTGATTAACCTGTGAAGGCAGAAAAAAGCTTTGGGGACCCTATTGTGTAAAATTATTTCCAGAGGAAGTCTCTCCAAGAAGTATAAATTCATGCCCACTTTTAGCATGAGGCAGAACATGCGTTTTGAAATCAATAATAGAAAATGAAAAAGGAGGAACCATATTGATAATTGCATAAAACCTCGTCCACCAACCATATTGAAATTTCGCAACTTACAAACCTAAATAATAAAGTTCATACATTTACCTATTTGGTTGTAATTTATGTATAGGTGTACTAATTCATATTCAATTCATATCCATTTGTCGAATATCTGTTTATATCCGTGATCATATCCGATCCGATTCTCAAATATCCGAACCGTATCCGTTTCCGATAAGTGCCAATATGGTTAATGTTTTTCCTTACCGAAGATGATCCGTATCCGTATCCGTTTATAAAAAGCGGATATGGATATGGTAAGTGTCATATCCGAACCGTATCCGCTCCGATAACACCCCTAGACATGGCTATATATACTTAATTGGAATTAGCAATTTACGCAAGATCATTGTTTTTTTTATTCACATGTTATGAGAACTAAATTTCCTATAAGATTTTTATGGTTTTTTTTAACTAAGCATGTTATAAATTGACAAATTACTCCTTTTTGAACTGGATACCCAAACGACTCTTTACATCATACTTTTGAACTAGGCATGGGCTAAAATGAACTTGACCCTTGTCCAACGAGTTGCGTAAATTTGAGGTGAGGTGTAAAATATACATCCAAGAAGTGTATTACAAGTGTTTTAAGCTAAAGCATGTATTATATAGTTGAGTACACGTCTGAATAAATGTATGTATACATTTAATAAGTGTCCAAGGAGTGTCGGACATGGACATGGATATGGGAAGTGTCAAAACAGGAGCCAAGATGAAGTGCCTAGGTAAATCGTATTGGCAAAGCCATTGTTCTCACTATGATAATCACAAAAATATATATATATATATTTGTGGTGTTGAGGTCGAAGTGTTATGTGTAGAAATCTTATCATCAGCATGTGCATTTTGGTTGATTATGCTTTCTCATAATTAGTTAATGTGGTCCTGTTATTTTGAACCACATCTCCATTTTTATCTGGCTGAAAAGACTGTTCTTGCATCCCAACTTTTTTCCTCTTGTGCTTCCCCTTGTTTCGATCTCAATAGTTGCATATAAGCTTCTAGTGAAATGGAATTAGCAGTTCAGTATGTATAGAACTTTGCTTTTTTGGATACATTGTGCGTAATTTACCATGTATTGACTAGCCTGGGTTGGAATGTTGGTTCCTGTTTTAGATAAAATCATAAAATGAAGTTAGGGACATAAAGATAATGGATTCTGTTAGATGTCTTTAACTTTGTTTGGTACCTTAGATTCTTTCCAGACGCGGTAGGATTTAGTTTTTATATGACATCATTGTTGTTAAAAAATTCCTGCTAATTTTTCATGTTTTAGTAGAGCATGATCAATGAGCTGATGTTGTGGTTGCTCATGCTTCGGTCTCACCTTTTTACGGCTCTTACTGTCATCTAAGATGTTGATGTTTAGCTCTTTCCCACTCTTTGCTTTTAATGAACGATCGTGGATCGGAGGGGAAACAAAATCTGTGACTGATACTATCATTTTATGTGGTTGTTTATGAATCCCTTAACCTTTATCTTTATGGATGACGATACGGTACTCATACTCAAGTCACTATCTCAACTTTCAGTTTTAGGGTTTGTTGCTGAATGCTGAATTCATATTGGCCTCTGATATCTGTCATGGTTCCCCGTGAGTAGGTAAGAGTGATGTCTAATGAGATGTCATTGGATAATGGAATGAGATGATGAAAAAAATTGAATTATAGGAATGTAATTAATGAACTTGATGATTGAAGGTATTATAGCTTTAGTTGGCTGGCACCTTGTGGTTTATGTGTTTGGTATAAGTTATTATTTCATTACACACGCACGTCGTCATCACTAATTTGTTTGCTCCATGCTGGAACTCAATGTGGTTTGTTTTTACTGCAGATGGTAAAATACCAGTATCTAAAAAAATGATTATTTTTGGTGCGCGTGGAGCACTCTAGCCCCCCCGCTGGCCCCGCCCCCCCCCACCCATCAGCATGTGCGATTTGTTTGGTGGTATTGAAATTGACCAATGCTTTCTCATAATTAGTTGATGTGGTCCTGTTAATTGTGAGCTAGATCTTCACTCTGATCTGGCCGAAAAGACTATTCTTGCATTATGCCAGCTTTATCCAAATATACACACTAGATGGTGGGTTGCTCTGTTGTTTTTCAAATTTAGATGAAAGAACTTTCAGGAGCAGCAAGATATCGGACTTTTCTGATGTCTTGGATTCTTGTCTCTGATGTTATCATTCTGTGTGGATATCCTCCCCCTGTTCTGTAATGAGATGTTCATCCCTCGTGGATGAAAGCTTGTTTTCAGTCGCAATCTCAGCTCTCTGTTTTAGGGTTCAATGCGGTATTCACGCTGGTCTCTTATGTCTGTCATGGTTCTTCGAGGGTGGATGAG